TATGACCAATCAAAATTATTAAGAGGTCTGCCACGGATCGCGCAGTTTAAAAGCTAGCTTGACAGATCTGCGCGCTGAGTTTTTCGTGCTTCAACGATAAGAAACAAAAATGAAAGCACTAATCACAGCGATCATAGATGGGGCCACGAAAAAACGCATAATATATTTAAAGCAGTGGTTTCCAACCTGGTTCGTGGCTCCTATCCGGAGGCACGCATGGCCCCCTGTATGTCATCCCAGTGATATTTATAGTGTTGTTTTGATTGATAGAATCCGAATCCCATTATGTTCAAACAATTCATTCCCAGCAAAATGAATACACCCTGTGAAATAACCTTATCAAGCAATGAAACTTGGAAAAACGGTGAGTTTTTTGAAGTAAAAATGAAAATTAGTTTTGTGGCAAGCAATGTGGCCCTCCAACTGCTCTGTGGCCCCCTTGGAGGGTCGGCTAAGAACCGCTGAGTTAGAGTGTCATTGAATATAAAACTACAAGCCAAAGTCAGAGGTTCCTAGAACTTCTTCTAGTTACAAGGAACCAAATTTGATATAGGTCGATCCAGTAGTTGCAAAATTGCGAACTTTTCACAACAACAACATTTTTGCAAATCGATCCATAGGGCGACTCCGCGCCCAATAACCCATCGTAGAAACTTAAATGGGCCTATAAGTTTAGTCCTGCATACTATTCTGACACTGTCGTTTTTAACATCTACAATATTTTCAGCTTACTAATCTCAAATTATCTGACTATTTAAAATTACTGAAATGTCGTTCATGGCCGTAGCCTAACTGGCTGGCATTGCAGACCTAAACCATAGGCATTAATTTTTTATGCTTCAACGAAGTTTGGAAAAAATCTCAGGCATTCAAAATTTGAAACAGATTGACCCAATATTCGGGGAAAAGATCTCAGACGCTCAATTTTTGTGCTTCAGCGCGAAATCAAAAATATTAAACATGAGCCGCCGTGTATGAGATCGAATAAAACCGCATCTTTGGGAATCATTGGACGTGAACTGGAATTCAAGCGAAAATGCTTTTTACGGATCATTTGGGTTATGATACAAACATTGGGGCTTAAATTAAGTGCTTGGAGTAATGCAATACAATACCGGTACAACTCATAGGCATCGCCAAATTTTCAATATATTTTTATAAATGCAATTTTGGGGCAATTGCAGTGCGACATAAATTCATACGCCTTTCCCAACACCATTTTACCCTATTCTTGAACGATTTACTAATTTTGGTATCTGCTCAAATTACCAATTATTAAATATTTTGCGCTGTTAGCGAGTAAAAGCTTTTAAAATTAAAACGACTATAGATTATATAAATTATATCCGGGCGCGGCGGTGTGGCTCAACGGGTTAAGCGTTAGGAATACGCTCGCCACCGCACCTCTAATTACTCTGCGTGGGTTCGCAGGTTCGATTCCCATGCAGGGATGGTTATGTGCGAGAGGATTGCTGGACTCCTCGCCGTCGTTGGGTGGTTCACGTAACCGCTGGTCGGTTACGGCTTCCTCCACCACCAAGTCCATGCTTCCGAAAACAAACAATACAGTAAAACTAATCCCATACCCGACTTGGAATGGTAACCGGACGAGAGGCCGTGGTTCGCCATATGGATAAGCCGTCTTATCGGCTTTCCTCTCCCCCGGGATAAATATGTAAATCTAACTAACAAGAGATTTTATAATGGTAAAAATTGGTACCGTTGGGGTATTAGAATATTACCAAAGAAACGTTATTCCTATTACTTTATATTTATTATTATTATCATTGTATTTGTTTTTTCTGGTTGACAAATAATAAATCTCTCTCTCTCTCGGCCCTCTTTTTATCGAATCTACATAAAATGAATACCGTTGTAAAAGGAGAAATATTTTAATCGTGAAATATTTCAATAAAATGATTTTAATACGGAATTAGTTGAAATTCGTATTTTTACTCGAATAGTAACATACAACTATCTCAATTTAACAGTCGTTAAAAATTGTCAGTCAGTAATTAAGAAGGCACAATCTTAAAATTTGTCATGGGCGCCATGTTGCATCGTACACACCACTGCCCAAGACCCACCATTGAGTTGTATGCACTGATATAAGCATCAATGTTATACAATGCCTGGTTAACAAGGCTGACATGAAAATAGGTTCATTAAAAATGTTTGGTGTTACGAAACGATAAAAAAAGGAGGCTTGAATCAAAAATGTTCGCTCGTCTTCACCGTTTTGACTAAAAACAAAATGATCAAGTGGGAGGAGTTCGCGTGCTTTGTATACTATCAAAGGTCGTAACACTGAATGCGGCCCCTTACGATTACCCTTCCCATCTTGTTGGTTAAATGTAACCCGATACCCAACCAACCGCCCACCAAAATAAAACGATTTAGCGAAGTTTAGCGCAGTTTTATGGAGGTTATCTGGCAAAGTAGGCTATAAACAAATAGATATACAATGTTAGTGGATGAATACGTATATATTTAGACGAAAACGATATCTGTAAAATATATATACCTACGTGAATGTATAATTGGCATTTGCTTAAACGAATCTAAGACGCGTGTACCTTCCTTTAACGTTTCACATGAATAGTCACAAATAATGAGGCTCCGTGCCCGATGTCGGCATCTTTTGCCAAGCAACAGTTCTTTGTTCAAAATGGTTTACATGAAAAATCTTGTAAGTCAGACATTTAAATATGTTAACATCGATATGTCAAACTGGGGTCGTGATTTATTCATAAATTAAGGTATATGCGATAGAATTATTTCATAAAAGTCCGTCAAGATTTGTTGAGGCGAAAAATTATTCGAGTGTGAAAAAACTTGGACCTTGTTGCCGTGGTTACGCGATGATAACTTATAGGTGCAGAATAGGAATAGTAGAAATGCCGTGTGAAAGTGCAGGTGCTCCGATTATTTTAGATGGTATTTTGTTTAGTAATGATTTTGTCATATCACAGAATCTTGTCTTTTTGAGCAGACATGATTACCTGTGTGTATGGATAGGTTTTGTAAAATGCTGTAACTTCAGGTTACACTCCAGGTTTTAAGTTACGTCTGTACGTCCAGCCCTCTTGCTGCCTAATTTAATAAAGAATGGCCTAGTTACGTCTCGTTTTTGAATTAAATATTTGAATTCTTAAAGATGTCTCGAATTGTATTCTTTACTTCGTGTTTAACTTTAACTTGTTTAAAAATTTAAACAACTTAGACCTATCTTACTTTTCGCGGCGCGGCAGTGTGGCTCAACGGGCTAAGCGTTAGGAATACGCTCGCCACCGCACCTCTAATTACTCTGCGTGGGTTCGCAGGTTTGAATCCCATGCAGGGATGGTTATGTGCGAAAGGATTGCTGGACTCCTCGCCGTCGTTGGGTGGTTCACGTAACCGCTGGTCCGTTACGGCTTCCTCCACCACCAAGTCCATGTTTCCTAAAACAAACAATACAGTAAAACTAATCCCATACCCGACTTGGAATGGTAACCGGACGAGAGGCCGTGGTTCGCCATATGGATAAGCCGTCTTATCGGTTTTCCTCTCCCCCGGGATAAATATGTAAATCCTATCCTATCCTATCCTTCGAAACTTGGTGAACAGTTTTTAAACTTTTCCCTGAATTTTCTTTTTTAATAATTTGATCATCTGGAAAGAAATGAAGCATTCATTACCTATAATTATGAGTGTTTATATTGAATGGGATAGGATTTCCATATTTATTGTCAAATTAGAAAATGAAATATCAAGCATTGTAATTTTTTACTATGCTATTCAAGAGTCCTGGAGCAGTAATTCATTTGTGTTAGCGTGCAGGACTTAGGAATTGTATAGTATAGTCTTATTTATTCCAGGTACAGCATCCTTACATTATATTGATATGGTTACACTAGCATAAAACCACAGACGAAGGATAGGAAGTTAGTATTGCGCAACCCAGCTCATAATTGTAATTTTTGTTATTGGTTCCCGAACGACTTTCAATGTAATGGCTATTTCTAGCAATAACGCATAATAAGGATATTTTTAAGTTGACCTTTCTCATATTGATTAACCGATTGATTAATTTTTTACTTTCATCATTGAGTCCAAATAGTATAGCATTCTTTATTTCTAAGTTCCTGTCCTACAATTCATTCATTTATTCAGTAAACCATCTGAATCTCGTTATGCTATATATCAGGGCTATATATCAGGCAGGGGTAACACGGCACCAAAAATTATGCCCACCCAGACTGGCGGGCCATGTAAGTGTGACGTAAACATTCACAACAATTGATTGGCCAGATCGAATTACCCAACAGGCCGGTTTTGGGCCACGGGCTGTAGTTTGCCCATGCCAGCTATATATCATTATTATCTTTGGTAAAATTTGGCTTTACCTTATGATTTTTATGGTCAAATTGAAAAAACATCAAATTCCTTTACATCTGTACTTTAAAATAAAGCCTTTCTGAATATTTTTCAATTTCAAATTTATTATACGGGCACTGATATCTCATTGTAATCAAATATACAGTAGATTACATTGAATGATAAGTTTGTCAGAATATGGCAAATTCAAAGAACAGTTTCTATCGAAAATAATAAAAATCCTATAAAATTCAATTTTGAGTACCGGGAAATCTATGTCTAATTTGACATGGGAAAACTACAGCCTGTGTGCCAAATATGGTCCATTTGGTTATTCAATCTGGCCCACCTGATGCTGCCACAACCAAACTAAAACCAAATTTTTTATTTTTTAGATGAGAAATAACTCAAGGAAATTGTTGAGATTTTGATAAAACTTAGTTTTGGCACGAGGCTTATTGTTTTCCACTTTTGCTTTTGTAACACTGTAAATATTGTTCATAAAATGTAACTTTTCATGTTACACTTGTAACATATCCCGTCTAAATGGGCAAAATTTTTGGCCCGTGGTCCGAAAACTTTGCCCACACCTGGTCTAGCTCATAATATATCATTTTATGTAATATACAGAGACTTTTTATGCTAAGAAACCTAAACCAAACCCAATCAAGATGTCGATAACAGTTGAAAGAACACTGGCAATAATTAAGCCAGATGCTATGGACAAAGCCTCAGAAATCGAAGACATAATTCTACGTCATGGATTTATGATTCTACAGAAACGAAAAGTTCATTTATCTCCCGAACAAGCAAGCGATTTTTACGTCGACCATTATGGAAAAATGTTTTTCCCAAGTTTAGTGTCGTACATGAGCAGTGCTCCTATCATTGTGATGGTTTTGTCGAAAGAGGACGCAATTGAAAGCTGGAAAAATCTCATCGGACCTGCGAATCCTTTTAAGGCACGAGAAACGCACCCAAGATCGCTCCGAGACAGTTACGGAAAAGATCAAACTCGGAATGCAGTCCATGGAAGCACTAACCATCACATGGCAGAAAGAGAAATCCATTTTCTATTTCACGACGCCATTTTGGAGCCAGTTCTGACCCAGCTTTCAGCGAAAGACTATTTAGAATCCTCTGTAAATTCTACCCTCCTTAAAGGCATGACAGAACTTTGCAAAGTCAAGCCAAAAGATGCTGTTACCTGGCTTGCAGATTGGCTTAGTGTGAATAATCCAAACAAGCCTAAAATCGCTCAAGAAGTCGTCGAGCCAAACTAATTTTTATACCATGGATTTTATATTTTAAGTTTCATGTTCCAAAATTTTATATCGTCAATATTTTCGATTTTGGATATTCCAAATTAATCAAATAGGATAGATAATTAAGAAATATCAAATTTTTACTGACTCAATTTCTCTGCACAAAACTGCGAATTTTTCATAAAAACACTAATTTAAACGAAAATTTATCATCAGATGAAATAATAACATGAATATTTTATTAATCTAAATTGATCTCAGAGTTATAAAAATCATGATATATGTATCAAACGCTACAGAGTAAAATATCATTTCATATCAACATAAAAACATGGTCAATTTGATGTTTTCAATTCAGAAAACCAGCCAGTACTATTCATTCCTTTTTCATTTTAAATAAATTCTTTGAACATCCATAATTTTTGACTCACCCCCCCCCCCCCCCCCATTTTCATTCATTTAGCTGCCCAGCCAGCCCAGGTATGAATTTATCATCAGATCAGCTTTGGCCTAGCATGATTACATGGCAGTTTAAATCATTTATCTATTTCCCTTGCTTGATCAAACATGAATAGATGATGATCTAGTGTCTGGATGATGTACATAGCACCCCAACTCATTATTTTTATAAATTATATATACTTGAATAAACAGCATTATTGTTTTGTATTTTGCCTGTCAAAACTGCAAGGTGCAAGAGTGGTGAAAGGCATTTTCTGAAAACTGCTGAGTTAGAACGTAACAACTAGCAGGTCCGTCCGGAGGCGGGAAACATTTCGAAAGGGAGTCCGACCACGGAAGCAGATTTAGTTTGGAAATAGTCAATCAGATAGTAAGAACGGGTCGAGATTAGAGTTCTATGCACGACTCGAGTCCATGATTTTTTGGCGAGTCCTTATTACTTATCGATCTTAAGATCGGTAAGTATGTTGATAGGTATTTTGTGTGTTTGTCTGTTAGACACTTTCGTATGTTACGCGATATCTCAAGAGAGCAAAGTTGAATCTCCTCCAAATTTTGCATGTGCATTCATCATATCTCGGACCAGGAGCCTATTGATTTTGAATGAATTATGTCGTATGATTAGCGAGTTATCAAGCAATTAGTGATGGGACACACGATGTCGCTGTGGAGTGAGAGTGAATGAATCGAAACCGCAGTTTCTGTTTTGGGGGATTCCCTAACTTTCGATCGATAAGTCTTCGGTCTCTGAACGATACTCTCGTTTGTTACTTATCGATCTCGATAAGTATGTTGATAGGTATTTGTCTGTTAGATACACGCGGTTTCTCACGAAAGCGAGGTTGAATCTGCTCCAAATTTTGCATGTGCATTCATCATATCTCGGACCAGAACTCGTTAATTTTGGATGAATTATGTCGTATAATTAGCAAGTTATTAATTAATTAGTGATTGGACACAAGGTGTCACTATGGAGTAAGAGCTGTGTTTTGGGGGTTCCCTAACTTTCGACCGATAAGTCTTCGGTCTCTGACCGATATTCTTGTTTAATTATTATTAGACAAATGGCAACAAAACGCAGAAAAGTTGGATTGCAAATGGTTTAATGGCGCAGAAAATGTTCAAATGGTCAATCTTCGCGCGCTGCTTAAAATTTTTAACTTCCGAACTGTGTGAAAAAATGTGATTCATCGGCCATCCGTTCGGTTTTCAACTTTCTATAAATACGTGCGGCCCACCAATGACTTGCAATCTTTAATTTTGGCCCGCACGTAACGAAATGTTGCCGCCCCCTGTCGTACGCTATTGTGGCTGGGGGCCAGTGAAGAAGAGACGTTATTAAAATATTTGTATTATCTTACAAGCGTACTGGTAGATTGACATTTTTACATTTTTGCATGTACGCTATTGCTTTTGTTATGCGAGGCAAACGTTATCAAAACAAATCTCTTCTTACTAAGCGAAAGCTCTAACGCTGCTTTTTTACATTATAAATCATCCTCTTCGAAAGCGCTATTAAAATAACGTTACTGAACGTTTGTCACGTTACGTCAACCGCCAACGCAAAGAATTTTAACGCTAAGCGAAACTAGCAATTAGCAAAGCCACACTACTACCGTGTTTCCCCGAAAATAAGACTGGGTCCTATTTCAATATTCTTCCGAAAAGTAACACTAGGGCTTAGTTTGGGGGATGTCTTTTAATTTCATTTATCGATAACAAAATTACAAAATAGAAGATTATAAGATATATCGAAAAAAACAAAATATGAAAACCGATATCCATTTACTTATAAATAACAAGATTTTATTCGAAATAACTGCAATACATAGATTATATCAATCATTTAAAAGGTGTAGGAGTGGTTTCTTGCTATTGATAAGTAAAAAAAATTCTCGTTATTGACTACCGTGTTTCCCCGAAAAAAAGACCTACCCTGATAATAAGACCTAGCGTGAATTTCAAGAATGATTTTTATATAAGCTCTCCCCTTAAAATAAGACCTAGGTCCTAGTCTATAACGCAATTTTTTTTTACCTGGTCGATAGCAAGAAATCTCTAAATCTAAAACGTGTGATAGAGGAAAACGTATCATTGAAGTAAATGGATATTTGAAAATCTCCTAATTCTGTACTTTCTAACTTTGTTTTTGATAAATAAAATTATAAGACATCCCCCGAAAATAAGCTCTAGTGTTATTCTTCGAAAGAAAATTCCGGGGAAACACGGTGACAATATATATATATAACCTCTCACCTTCCCCTTTTCATGATAGCTCCCATTACTGATTTCTTTCTGTTCATCTGCGACCGCTGTTGTTTATATCTCCTCGCAGATTTGCTAGCTGTACTGGCTCCGCTTGAGGCTCGGCTTCGGTCATGGGAACTTCCACCAGTATCTCTTCGGTATCTGTGATAAAATATTCATATTTATAATTTATTCCGGGTAAAAGTAAAGATCTTGAAAAGACTAATCGTGATCCGGGGTTATTACAAGGGTATTTGTCCAACAAGCCAAAACAATCGCCATTTTCCGAATTCCGAACAATTTAACAAATAAAGCATAAAAATTTGACTTTAGTATACTAACTACGTGCCCTTCAATTGCGGGTTCTCGTTACCCGCTGAAGTAAATGAGTTTTTACGCGAAAAAGAAGATTCAATTTGTTACATGTCATCTAAATTTAAAAAAGCAATGAGTTTTTTCCCACTGAAATGATTTATTTACCTGTCCATGTATTCAAACACTTTATCAAACGCTTGTGTACCCAAAAGTTTACCTCATGAATCTGAGATATCACACTAATTTGAATTTTGTTTAGTAAACTTAAACTTCACTTACGCTTCTTCGTCGTCGAGATCCTGAAATTTTACTGCAGGTAACATCACATGTCGGCTTGTCTTTGATCTTTCAAATCTGGTTGTTTTACCTGAATAATAATGGAATTATATTTTCATGGTGTCCATAAAGTCTCTTCACAATTTCAATTTTGTTATGAAGTCAGTTCTAAATATATTTTAACCAGGTTTGTTGTTTTTTAATCAGTAATTGTTCAAGTATTTTAACTTCATTTAATACATCTGTGAGGGCCAAAACAATATATGGTTTCAATAAATGTCCATTGCGATTTAAAAAAAAATTAAGACTTTATTTGAAACCCTATATTTTTAGCATTAATGATACAGCATTTTCAGTCCATCCAATTTATTATACTATAAAACGGAGGTTACTGAGAAGAAGCCCTTGGCGTAAAAGTTGGAAATGCAGATTAATTCGACTTTTTGAGAAGTGTGTGAGAAATGTGTTTTTAACGTGAAATATACACGATTTTGCACCAACAAAACGTAGCTATAAAATGTATATTTTTGTGTCACTTTTTCGAGAGATTTTGCTTAAAATAAGATCACGCGCGCTCACTAGAGGCTCATTGTCAATGAGAAAAGTCAAGGGCGGACACTGAAAAGTACTTCTAAAGTATAAGAACCAAGATGGCGGACACCGAAACGTAGTATGTGTACCACGTTAGGGTTAGGCAATAATTTCAGGTAAAAATATTACGGGAGTCACTTGTCTAGTCCCCGAATTCGTACTAGAACTAAAATAAGAAAAATTGGAATAAAATTTATGGCCTAACCCTAACCTGGTACACATACTACGTTCCGGTCTCCGCCATCTTTGGGAGTAGCCACTGAAATGCCAACAGCTGTATAAAAATGATGGTGGCACATTAAGCAAAATTCACAGTTTTACTCACTTTTCGAAGTGCCCTGTTCTTTCATCGCCCGAAAACTCGCAGCTTTAGCTCTCAGCTCGCTCCTATTCAGTCGTTTGAAAGACAAGCTATCCATTTTCGTTCTAAAATCACGTATTAATCCATCATAAACGTCGTCTCCATCTTCCTCGTCGAGTCCTAAATCCTCTTTTGTTAGTGTTTCTATGGTAACGGAATCTCCGATGACATCATCGTTATCCGTGACGTCATCGACGTCGTCAACAACAATTGTGATGTCATTATCAGATACTCCATTCACGACTGAACCGTTATTAACAGTAAGCTCGGGAACAACGAGCGTATCCATATGAGTTTCCCTTAGAAGTCCAGATTATTATTACGTGACAATACTATTTAAGACATTATTGTTTGAAAAAGGAAAAACCTGAAAATTCGGTTGCCTTTAAGCAAGTAGGATATATGTTAAATATACTGGTTCCCGAAATTGGTTGACCGTGGCTTAAATTGGAAGCGGAAAGATATTCGCGGGCCGGGAGAGGGGAGTTCCCGGCAAGGGGCCAATACCGGTACGTATAATTAATATACCGGTATAATTGACGTATTACGAATATACACGTGCTTAAACTGTGGTAATGACATATCACTTGGCGCTATCTAGACCGCAAAACGAATTTTTTTAGCTGTTTTACTAAGTTCGACGTGTCGTAATAAATTGTTGCGCGCGCCGAAATTGGCCCGCGGGCCGCGGTTTGGAATCACTAGTTTATGCGTTTAGTTAAAAATTAGAAAGCCACCCGAAAGATTTCGGAAATATAATTGAAAAATGTTGATGGGGGGTAATGTGTGTGGCGATCTATGTAAATTGTATATATTTTGGTATTCCTAACAATAACAACAGCAGTAATTTACCTTCTGAGTTCTGAGTCATACTTGGCATATTGTAAATACACTTGGCCAAAGATAGACTAGAAATGGCTTGAACCTTCGAAGCCGAAGAAGACATTTGAAGAGGCGGATTTATTCACAAATGTATGTAACAGTCCCAAACAGCAAAATTATTCGTGTTGGGCTCCATATGTTGGCTATCAAACTGATACAGACGTATTGAGATTACTTCTAAATTTCAATGTATTTTGTGTTCTTTCTTAAAGCATATAACGCACGTAAATCGTTACAAAAAATAGTAAACTGGTAAGCGCTGGCTGACCATATGGAATCATAACCCTCGTGTGCGCCCTTCTTATCATAAACAATTGAGCGTATAAGGATTATATAATGTGTAATTCACAGGACTTGAGCCTGTCATAGTGGCGATTAGTCGGGTTTCTATTGTTATGCGTTGTTGCCCTCTAAGTCAGGGTTTCCCTAGCTGAGGTCTAATAATTTTATTCAAAAATCCATTGCATCTTCCGGACGAGTGGGGGTACGTCAAAAATGAGATTAACAAAAGGTGCAGAGCCCAGAAAGTTTGGGAAACTCTGCTCTGTGGGACCTTCCAGGCGAACCATCGAATTGACTTTGAACTCACTACACATGCCTACTCTAATCAATTACCTAAGACTTGCATCGTGACCCATACCCCATTATCAAACAAAATTCAACTTTTTATGGCTCTACTACGAATCTCTTTTCGCGAACAGACCACTTTCAATTAAATAACGCTTTGATTTACCACCTAACTACGAAATATAACAGAAAACCCAAGTGTTTTATTTTCGAAAAGAAAATTTACTATTCTAATAATACAATGAATCCTTATCAGCGAGGCTGCCAATTTCAGTTCTGCTATACGCTACTATATATACGTATACTGTACCTTTACACTAATTTACACCTTGCGCACTACACCATATTATGAATCGCAAAAGACCGTACCACCTCACACTGGAAAATAACAAAAAACTTGTGCGCTTCAATGCATGATTGCCACCAGGTAAACTCATGTCGATAATAAATAAAGCACAACCGGTGTTAGCAAAACGATGTAATTTGCCGACGTTTCGGATTTCTAAACAGAAAAACTTCATCAGAGCATGATGTGGAAAAGACACAAGTGCTTTATATATACGGCAAGAAAAGGAAAAATATGATTTTCAAACTTATAAGGTATTCTACATATATATTTGTATCCTATGCCTTTGCACTGGTGAAATATGGAAAATATCTCGACAATAATATATCTCATATTTGACCTCCGTATTGCGCTTCTTCGAGGGAAATTCCTTCTTCAAAAAAGGGCATCGAGAAGAATACAATGTGCCACATGTCAGGTTTCGTTCTGAAGACCGTCGATTGCATTAGAATTTGCCTATAGTTACTGCAAACTAAGCGAAACTCACTTAAAACACCTATCGCCTAACAGTATAAGACAGAATGTTATATTTATTTTCAAATCATTTTAACCCTAACTGAATAAATACTAATTTGTGTTTTGTCTTGGTGTCTCGCACTTCCCTTCTCCCTGAAGTACCAGATTACTTCTTTTTTGTATTGTGTATTCACGATGTGGTGCTCCCGAAGTATGCGAACCAAGATGGCGGACATCGGAACGTAACATGGGTAACAGGTTAGGGTTGGACCATAATTTTTTCCAATTTTCCTTATTTTAGTCCTATTATCAGTTCGAAGACTAGCCAAGAGCCTCCCGTAGTATTTATACCTAAAATTATGGCCTAACCCTAACCTAGTACACATATTACATTCCGATGTCCGCCATCTTTGTTCGCATACTTCGGGAGCCCTCACGATGTGTACTTTAGTATGATGGAAAAATAAATTACCGATAACCTGCGTAAGCCGTTTTATCGCCTATAGTTAGTAAATTCAAAAGAGTTTGTGCAGCACATGACCTCAAAAACACCTTTCCAGCTCGAGATCTTCCATTACTAAGTCCCCGCCAACGCTCGAAATATTGAAATTACTAATTATCCAGTGAGGGTTAGGAATGCAGATTGCGATGAAAATTCAAAATTTCAAATCATTCCAATATCCAGCTGGATAATCACTAATTTGTGTTTCAAAACGTATTAGGATAAGACAGAGATCTGTTAAAGTAGTGTATCATCGCCTATTCTATTCAAAACAGTTTATTCGGCACGAGACCTAAAAACACTCTCCGGCCCGAGATGTTCCATTCTCTACCTACTTTATGAGAATATGGGTATCAGTGGCTGATAGGCTATCTTTTTAGGTGTGAAGGCTCTTAACAATTTCTCACACGTATTTATGTAAATTTGTTTACCAGAATACTCCTGCATGCTGGTTTCAAATCTCAAATGCACGCTCTCGACTTACTCTGAATTGAAATACAATCACAAGACTGGAATTATTTTTCCTACTTTACATTCTTCTTTCGGTACTCCCGTAGTGTGTGTGCCAGGTTAGGATTAGGCCATAATTTCATTCCGATTTTCCATATTTTAGTTCTATCACGAGTTCGAGGACTGCCTGTCTTAGCCAAGTGAATATACCCCCTACCCATAGACGTCAGTCTCTTTACACAATAGGCGAAGAAAATCAGTTACCTCCATATTAGTACACATACTTCAGGAGCGCCATTATTTCCAATGGTTCGTGCTAATAACTACAAACGATGCGACTACGCTACTCAACAATTGAGCGCATACAATACTGTACTTAGGCAGTTGGCTAAATTTTTTGACAAATATGGTAAATTTTAACGTAATTTAGACGTAAATCTAACTCGATTTCAGTGATAATATTGAATACGCACCTCATCCAGGTCGCACTTTATATTTTAAATTCAAGGGCAAGTTTTACAAGGTTGTGTGACATTTTATAAACTATGACTCGTGACAAAATAGGATGCATTTTACAATTCTTTTAACAGTCCAATACGTAACAACGCAACGGAAGTTAATTAACATAGTGGGCCTTGTGAGTCACAAACCGTTTCTCTATTTTATAATTGTCATTTAATCATGCCCGATCGAGGGTAAAACATGGAGTAAATTTTTAATTACATACGGCCCATATTTGTTGCAATGATAATGCCGAACATTTTGAGATGTTTGAAGATTCCTTATCGAATATATATTACGAAGCTGAGTCATGATATCTGTTACGTACAGTGCTGGATTAACCATTGAGCAAAATAATTACGTGCTTAGGGCACCAAGGAAGTGGGGACACCATAGAGCATAGACGATCTTTTCAATTATGACCCAGTA